TTCTTGTCCCACCCAATGCCAAATTTCTGCTTCAGGCACGCCTGTGGAGGCATTCGCCGGATCAAACTCTAGGCGGTCCAGCTACCTAGGACGGTGACACCCAATGCATACCCGGACAAACGAGCCTGCTAGAATGGTCTCCCTAAAACCATGTAAAGAATTAAAAAGGCCGGCCGCACACATTTCTGCCTGGGATTGGCCCGTGGTAGCCTTCACTTACCCGAGTTTTGATTCTGGCTCACATGCCATGCATCGTAGATAGCCTGACATGCTGATCATAGACAGCCCTACAACTTATTGAAGCCAGACTACAAGTACAACTGACATGTCCCTGTCGCCTGGGGGTAAATGCACAACTCGGGTCCATTGCACATGACAGCCTGTTGGCAGGTTGGCTGAGGATTTCTTGTTGTGGACAGCTGGGGAATTGCCAAACCAAGCTCCACAAATCCAAATCTGGGAGTTTCAGCGCCTGGGAGGGGAGATGATGTCCGCCGAATTGGACCCCCAAAAGCACACCTCTTGAAACTACAAAGGATGCGTGGCCCTGTGAATGATTCCTCAACGAAACGTTCCAATGTGCGTCTGATGCACGTCCAACCGGCGCCAAAATACGACGAGGTGCGCAATGCCCCACGGGCCCGGAGCCTCCCGCGAGGGGGCGCCAGCCCTTCTGAGAAACTAAGATGGGCTGCGGTCACGTCCAGTGCGGCCAAGCATGCCCGCCCCTTTTGGGTGAAAAGGGAGATGTTCACAAGATCTGACTCCGAGGTATGCGCCGAAATGCGCCGAATCAATCTTTGTGCAAGGAGGTGAGCATAGGCAGGCAGCATGAGCAATTCAGGGTTTCGGCAGGTTTGTTGACAGCTTCCCAGCAAGAAGTCAAGCAATTGAAATCATTTAACACGTGGACAAGCGCAGCCGCTTGGTGCACCCCGCCCCGCAGGTGTCTTCCTGGTCTCCAGCGCAGCAAGTTGCCTGCATGCGGAATATCGACCCCACCAAAGCCCCAAAAAGCTTACCAAGGCCGCGACCAGCTTGACCCCCATGAGCTGCAAATTGAGCCTGTTGCTGGCAAGAAAAACGAAACATGGTCAGAGACACAAGGCACCATGAAGACAAAAGGTTGCCATGACTTCGGGTGCAAGCAAATACTCTATGCCAGCACACCCCTCGATACTGGGCCCCACGTACACGAATCTATGTTGGATGATTCAGTGCTGTGCCAAGACTTGCCAGCCAAAGATTGTCTATGGCTCAAGTGCGGCCGTGCCTTTGAAAAGCATCCGACGGATGTAGAGCTCAATTTGTCAGTGCATTGAGCGGGGGTTGGAAGAAAGCGGTTGTTCCACCTGAAAGTGCCAGTATACATTCAGAATTGCCACTCTTCTGTTCACTTCCTTTGCTGTCGTGTTCCATGTGCAACAAATTGCCAGGCAAATATCAAGCCTTGGGCGTCGTGTGAGCTTGTCACATGAGCTCCAGTGGCTGCGGAACCGAGCCATCACGTAATGCTTTGCGATGGACAGAAAATGAAAACGGTGCCTTGCTCTTGCACATTGCCCTTTTGCCCTAGGTTTGCTTAAACTCGCAAATCACACTTGTTCCATGAGCCACCGGTCCATCGATTCCTCCTTGCTCATGGAGCAAAAGGCTCACATTAGGCAATGGCGAGCGCAACCAGCTGTCACATTGACTCTGCATTTGCAACCAGCTGCAAAGTCTTCAGGCCGGCTGAGATCAAAGACTTTGGAATGCCCAGCACGGAAATGCCCAGGTCACGTTTGGGGCGTCCCCAGAGGTCGCCGTTGCCCCTTGTAGCGCGTGCGCTGAAGCCTGAAAGCTACTCAGCACATGCCCTCTTTTCCTGCTCCGAAAGGCTACTGGACTTAGCAGCCACAAGCGCCCGGCACAAATTGATGGTTTTGCCGTACCTCGGGCATCCGCAGCTTCCAGCCTCTGCATCCTCCCCCAAACTCAGACTCCACTCTCCTTTCACCACAAATTCCCTTTGGGAACTTCCGATCCCCGAATTCCCAGAGGAACTCAGCCACCAGATCTCTCCGGGACTCCGCACGCTCTGGATCCGCACCGCGATGGCCTTCTCGTAGGCACCTCTGAAGCCCAGCTCCGGGTCCTGGCGCCGCTTCCCGCTGGGACCTTTGGGCGGGGGTGCACATGCGAGCCGTGCCAGACAGTCAAACAAGAGATATGATCGCATCCTTCTGCGCTCGAAGATTGAGGCTTCCACATGATCTTGGGTGCAGCTTAGCCTGTTTGTCTGGTCGACATTTTGCTGTTTTTCCGATGTTCCCGCCAATACTTGTTCTTTCAGGCATCAGTTGCCAGCGAATGTGTAGAACATTCGAACGGACGATGAGAACAACACAATTCCCCTTTCTGCCACAGCAAGGATCACAAATGGACTCTGCTGCCAGCTTGGCACTGTCACCACTTCCCACCGCCCATCTCTTGACCCACCTCAGTGCTGAACATAGCATAGGTCTTCATGCCGCAGTTGCTGAAGCGCGCAACCCAGGCCTTCTCCTCCAGGCTGGGTCCATTGACGTCCCTTTCCCACGGTGCATCGGAATGCGGTGCCTGCTTGTCAAAGAAGACACCCCGGACACCGCTGCGGCATTGGTCGGGCTTCGGGCGGCCCAGCTTGCCTTGGAACGGCGGCACGGCCCAAGGGTCTCGGCAACTTGGCGCAGCTCAGAAGTCGGCCGGACCTCCGTAGCTCTTCGAAGAAGAGAATGGCACGGGTCCGGGCTGGCAGGAAATGCAGGTTTGCAGTCAGGGCATAGTGTCCGAGTGCACTTCTGGCAGCTTACGGGATGCCCAAACATTGCTCAAAAGATCGCTCTCGCCAAAGAGGCCTTGCTCGAATTTGCTCCCCCTTGCTCCGAACCAGCGGAACACCTGCGGCAAACATACTAAGTCACTAAGTTGTCTGCAAATGTTGCATCCAAACTTGCCATCTCCAGCCTGCATGCCGTTCCTATACCACATAACCTGCGGTGCTCATCTTACCCGCCGATCGGGGGCGAGCGCGTGACGCGCGCGTCACGCTCAGGCGTCGGCCATCCATCGCTTCATGTGATGATCATAAATCACCTCACAGATTAGCAAGCGTAAGGTCGTCAACCAGGAGTCGCTCTTGGCAAATCTAGGTCCCAAGCATGCCTCCTGCTGTTGTCGTACCTTACAGTCGAAGTTCTTCTGTTGGAATCGAATACAAAGCTCTTGCGATTCATCTCAGCGCTCTGCATGGGGATGCGCATTCGGAACATGTCATGTACTGGCCAGTACATCTCCACGCGCTTGCCCAGGCCCTGCAAAAATGTCCATCCGACCCGTTCAACGGCGGTGATCTGCCTTTGACTTCTTTTTTTTCTGCCATGTTGAAAACATACATGGCTGGAATTTCCCATGAACGCAATGGTCTTTCTCTGCCACTTGTCCGAGTCGACTAGGCATAGCTGATGTGACTTTCGCAATGGAGATGTCTTGCCTTCTGGTGCACCGTCCGCGGCCGCGCCTGGCAGGGGGAAGAATCCCTAGGCGAGCAAAACATCACAAACACACTATCCAGTTGTATTGGTTAGAAAACATGGAACTCAGAATGCAATTGATACCCAAAGGATTGTCGGGCGCACATTCTTCCGCAGCCGCTTCATGCCCAGCTTCCGGCCAGCAAAGCGAACCTCTGCGGCATACTGCTTCCATGCGAATGCACGACGAAAGCAAGGCGGGAAGGGATTGTTGCAAAAAATCACTTTGCCTGCCTGCTGGGACATAGGCCCCAGAACCTGACGCGCAAACACTCCGTGTGCTGGCAAAACCAACGCAAAGCCCGCAATTCTCCAAGGTAGGGAGACACACGGGAAAACAATCCATGTGGAAAACAATCAGTTTGACCGCGCCTGTCCAGGCGCATTCCGTCCCAGCAAGCCCAGCAGCCCAGGTCTGCGCGCAAGCTGAGCCAGGCTTAAGACAGTAACTAACATCTAGCTCACCGGTGTCTTGCGAGTTTCAAACGTTTCACTGAGAAGGCTCTAGAGATGAGGCAGTCAGACTCAAGCCCCTCACCCGAACCCCATTCCCACTGGTACTCCGTGTCATTATTTTCTGTACACAATGATACTTCCTGTCCCATTCGTGGCACATCTTTGGTTTGAGCCAGGCGCACTTGCTCAACAGCAGCCCCATCATCCGTTATCTTTGGGATCTTTTTGAGGATGTGATTGACCTGGCTTGAACCTCGTTTAGCAGCCTTCCGAATCCGCAGCATCCCCAACTTAGGCGACCCTGGGTGTCTGTGAAAGGTGTGCTTTTGGATTGAAGACCAGCAAGATTATCCTTCTTTTGTTCTTTTGTTTCTGTGTTGTTTTCTGTTGTTTTTGTTGTTTCCTTCTCTTCTTTTTTTGTTGGGGGGGGGGGGAGTGGTGGTGCAAAGGAAGCCTAAAGGAAGGCCCAAGACCGTTCGGGGCCCGGTAGACATTACGGGTTCACGATTCTAGCATTGCGCGGGGTAAACGAACTCACCATTTGGCTTCCATAGAAAAGAGAGAAAAAACACTGTAAACTTGTCGTAAAACACCGTGTTTTGTACCGGTGTTTAGTCAAAAACCCTTCAACACGGACTTCTCAGGCCAGGCTGAGTGGCGTGTACTGTTCAACTGCCACCGGAGAAGACCCCTGTTGTTCCCCCAGAGTTGGGGCATTTCATTGCAAGCCCAATCCGGACTCGTGTACTGGGGCTGGCTTCTTCTGGAATCCTGGTTAAAGCTGGCTTTCGGGGCGACAGTTTGGTCAATCTCGCCAACTGTCGGGATGGCTGCATGTGGTTCATTTCTGGTCGCTGGCTTGCTCGGGTTTCTTCACACGGTGTGGGGAGGAGGACCTGCTTGGAGGTACGGACTTTCAAGAGCGACTCAAGGTGGGAGCACCTAAGGCGAAACCCTTTAGCACAGACCTGATGGCCCTTTAAAGGATGGTCTGCCTTTTGCATCCCACATTCAGCGTAGGGGAGGGAGGGTCAGGGTCAATTTGCCTGGAGGCAAATGGAGCAACTGTCCTGTGATTATTCGAATTCCCCCAAGGAACAGGTACGCAAGTGCGCTTTGTATTTCTCTGCCTGGCAAAAACTGGCATGGAATCGCCAAGTTTGCCAAGGCTTGACCAAATGACTGACGTCTAGGAAGTCCAAGTGGTTTCGTTTGGAAACAGGCATTGCAACAGAATACCCAACAAGAAATTGGGCGAGTACGTATTGCAAGGATCCATGACCGACACAGTAGAAAGCAGGGTATGAGTGTCATACAAAATAGCTTGCCGCTTCCCAGACAAATGCCATAGCTGACAATAAGGAACAACAAGAATGTGCTGCAGGCCTCTGCGAAGAGATGGCACCGTGAAAGGCCTCGATGGATGGGCTTGGTTTATAGCTTCCACGATAGTTAACGTCCGGCTTCAAGTACTGCCAAGCTCAAACTTTGTAAGGTGGACAACCGGCCTTGCAAGACTGTGCCCTCGTTTCAAACCAGTCAAGTCTCGACCACAATTCATGGATTGGGCCCCTTATCAATGGTGTCATCCGAGGGCCCTGCTCTCTGCGCGACCCAGCCTGTGTTGAGAGCCGCATGCCAAGTTGACCAAAATGGGCTTCATCAGAACCCTCTCGCTGGCTTCATGCAAACAGCCGAGGCCTGGAGACGGCAAAGTTGTGGAAACGCCCAGCCTGGGGCATTCAGACGGCAATGGTTTTTTGCGAGTCGAGTCGGGAAGTCCCGCGACTTGCTTCGGCCTCCGCACCGCTAGGGTCAGCCGGACCTTTGCAGGTGCTCAGGACTGCGTGAGGGGCTGAGGGAGTGTGCCTCTTGGAAGCACTGAGTTGCTGGCCCTTGCCGCAGCCATGGCTCGGTGTCAACTACATGTAGGGGTCGGCAATGCGCGCACTGTGCTATGGTCTTCATCAATCTTGGGGCTCTTCAGGGAGGTTGCTTGGACAGTTCGGGTTTGTGCAGTGAGAGAAGATCAGGTCTGCTTTTTGTGCTCACAAACATTTGAATTCGTGTGTGCATGCACATATTGGTCTTTGTATATACATATATACATATTGATAAGGATACATACATATATGTCTCTAAGAAATATATATATATATATATACATATTAATACATAACATGCTTAAGTATACCTAATGTGCTGCGCTCGCATTGCATTCCTTTGAAGCATCGCCTCAGCCTTTTGGGTATTCAAGGCCGTGCCAAGTCACCGAGTGCCAAGCTGGGATGGGCAGCTTCCGTCAAAAACGCTGCTGGAATGTGCTGGGCTCACATTTTCGGCAGCCTTCAGCTTGGCAAGTGCCCTCGATGCTCGGCCTAGCCAAATAACCGCAGAACAGAGCAGCGCAGACTGGCTACTCAATTGGTCAGACCAGTTTGGGCATATCATGTATCAACTTCTGACAGAACTGTCGGCCGCGGAAAGCTTTCAGAACAGTTTAACAGTCGTCCAGCAATGCCACCCCATCTCCATCAAATCTGTTCAGCTCCACCGTCCAGCCTGCAGTCCGGCTTAAAGTGGAAGCGCTTTGCCACACCTCGAAGCAGACCTGATGAAGACAAAGAGAGTTGCTTTTTCAGTGAAGCACCTTGTTTTATGGCGGCGGCTGTAGGTGTAGGCGTAGCCTTCCTCTGGCACAAAGTCCACTTGGAAAGCGCCTGGCATAGCTGCGGTATAAACTCGGGAGTTTCCCAACAGAGCAACAGTTTTGGCAATGCGAAAAGGGCCCTAAAATGCATATTGAGCCCCGAAACCGGTGAGTATGCATCAAAGATTTTACCAAGGCAACAGCTCACAGTGGCCTTCCTGCAGGCCTCCGAGCTCTTCGCCGCTTTCGCCGCAAAGGCAGCCCTGCAAACCCTTGACCCCAGCGATGGTCACAGGCAGCACTCCTGGGGTCACAAGCAAGGGATGCCAAAGTGGGATTGTCTCGAAGGCCCAAACTGGATTCCGGCGTCCTTTTGGTGTCCCTTCAAACCCACCCAAAACAGAAACCCCAAAAAAAACACCCCCGTTGAGATCAGTCCTGGATAGTCAAAGTCCAAGCTGAAGTCTGCGTAGCCTGCATTTCGGTGTGTAGGTCTCAGCCACTCGACAAATGTCGAAAAGCTCAAAAGCTTTTGCCTCAACATGTTTGGGCAATGTTTGGCACACGCCAGTCAAAAATCCGCCGACAACAGACGGCGTGTTGGACACAAAAAATGCTCCTTACCTCTTTACCTGTTACCCTCCCCTAACAGTTCAGACTATTGCGGGGGGGGGGGGGGTCCACGTACCACGCGGTGATTCGAAGACGCTTCACTAAATCTGTTCATTGTGCGGGCTTGCGCAACTCAGTTTGTCAAAAACATTGGGGTGTTCGATTCCCCCCGGGTGCGCTTTCACATCCTTAGCAGCTCCAGCGGCACATCGCCAGCATCACCTGCATCATCCGCATCAGCGCCTGCCAAGGATGCGGATGATGCAAGTGATGCTGGGGATGTTGCCCATGCTGGTGAAGGAAATGAAGGGGGGAAAGGGGGAAAGGATCTCAACAGCGAAAGGGGGGGGAAGATCTCAGGGAGGAAAGGGAGAAGATCTGGAAAAAAAATGCCTTAAGGGGGAAAGGGGGGAAAAGATCTTTGGGAGGAAAAGGGAAATCTTTCTCGGGGGGAACAGGCCCTAAGGGGCAATGGGGGGACAGGATCTCAAACGGGAAAGGGAGAAAAAGACTTTGGGAAGAGAAGGGTGGAGATCTTGGGGGGAAAAGGCCTTAGGGGGGAAACGGGGGAAAGGATCTTAAGCGGCAAAGGGGGGAAAAGATCTTAGGGAGGCAAAGGGAGACGAACTCAGCAAAAAGGACTTGGGGAGGAAAGGGGGGGAAAGATCTTTGAAGGAAAAGGGAGAAGAACTGAGGGTGGGAAAAGGCCTTAGAAGGAAAAGGGGGGGAAATAAATGATCTCAACAGGGAACTGGGGGGGGGGGGGAGGGAAGATCTTAGGGAGGAAAGGATCTGGGGGGAAAGGGGAGAAATGATCTCAACAGGGAAAGGGGTGGAAAAGATCTTAGGGAGGAAAGGGAGAAGATCTGGGGAAAAAAGGCCAACAGGGAAAGGGGGGAAAAGATCTTAGGAAGGAAAAGGGAGAAGCTCTCAGGGGGGGAAAGGCCTTGGGAGGGAAAGGGGGGAAAGGATCTCAACAGGGAAAGGGTGGGAAAGATCTTAGGGAGGAAAGGGGGGGAAAAGATCTTAGGGAGGAAAGGGAGAAGATCTGGGAGAAAAGGACTTAGGGGGGAAAGCCCAACAGGGAAAGGGGGGAAAAGATTTAGGAAGGAAAAGGGAGAAGCTCTCAGGGGGGGGAAAGGCCTTAGGGGGGAAAGGGGGAAAAGGATCTCAGCAGGGAAAGGGGGGGGGAGGGGGAAAGATCTTAGGGAGGAAGGGAGAAGATCTGGGGACAAAGGCCTTAGGGGGGAAAGGGGAGAAATGATCTCAACAGGGAAAGGGGTGGAAAAGATCTTAGGGAGGAAAGGGAGAAGATCTGGGGGAAAAAAGGCCAACAGGGAAAGGGGGGAAAGATCTAAGGAAGGAAAAGGGAGAAGCTCTCAGGGGGGGGAAAGGCCTGAGGGGGGAAAGGGTGGGAAGGATCTCAACAGGGAAAGGGGGGAAACAATCTTAGGAAGGAAAAGGGAGAAGATCTGGAAAGGCCTTAAAGGGAAGGGGGGAAAGGATCTCAACAGGGAAAGGGGGCAAAGGATCTTAAGGAGGAATAGGAAGAAGATCTCAGCGGGGGGAAAGGCCGTAGGATCTCAACAGGGAAAGGGGGGAAAAGATCTCAGTGAGGAAAGGGAGAAGGTCCCAGGCAGGGAAAAGGCCTTAGGGGGGAAAGGGGGAAAGGATCTCAACAGGGAAAGGGGGCAAAGGATCTTAGGGAGGAAAAGGGAGAAGATCTGAAAAGGCCTTAGGGGGAAAAGGGGGAAAGGAGCTCAACAGGGAAAGGTGGGAGAAGATCCTAGGGAGGAAAAGGGAGAAGATCTCGGGGGGAAAGGGGGAAAGGATCTCAACCAAGGGAAAAGATCTTGGGGAGGACAAGGGAGAAGATCTCAGGGGGGGAAAGGCCTTAGGGGGGAAAGGGGGGAAAGGATCTCAACAGGGAAAGGGGGCAAAGGATCTTAGGGAGGAAAAGGGAGAAGATCTTGGGGGGGAAAACGCCTTAAAAAAAGGGCGGGAAAAGATCTTAGGAAGGAAAAGGGGCAAGATCGCGGGGGGAAAAAAGGCCTTAGGGGGGAATGGGGGAATGGATCTCAAAAGGGAAAAATTGCAAAAGATCTTAGGGAGGAAAAGGGAGAAGATCTCAGGGGGGAAAGGCCTTAGGGAGGAAAGGGGGGAAAGGATCTGAGCAGGGAAAGGGAGGAAAATATCTTAGGGAGGAAAGGGAGAAGATCTGGGGGCAAAGGCCTTAGGGGGGAAAGGGGAGAAATGATCTCAACAGGGAAAGGGGTGGAAAAGATCTTAGGGAGGAAAGGGAGAAGATCTGGGGGAAAAAAGGCCAACAGGGAAAGGGGGGAAAGATCTAAGGAAGGAGGGAGAAGCTCTCAGGGGGGGAAAGGCCTCAGGGGGAAAGGGTGGGAAGGATCTCAACAGGGAAAGGGGGGAAACAATCTTAGGAAGGAAAGGGGGGGGGGAAGATCTTAGGGAGGAAAGGGAGAAGATCTGGGAGAAAAGGATTTAGCGGGGAAAGTTTAACAGGGAAAGGGGGGAAAAGATTTTAGGAAGGAAAAGGGAGAAGCTCTCAGGGGGGGGAAAGGCCTTGGGAGGGAAAGGGGGGAAAGGATCTCAACAGGGAAAGGATGGGAAAGATCTTAAGGAGGAAAGGGGGGGAAAGATCTTAGGGAGGAACAGGAGACGATCTGGGAGAAAAGGACTTAGGGGGGAAAGCCTAACAGGGAAAGGGGGGAAAAGATCTTCGGAAGGAAAAGGGAGAAGCTCTCAGGGGGGGGAAAGGCCTTAGGAGGGAAAGGGGGAAAAGGATCTCAGCAGGGAAGGGGGTAAAAAAGATCTTAGGGAGGAAAGGGAGAAGATCTGGGGGAAAAATGGCCAACAGGGAAAGGGGGGAAAGATCTAAGGAAGGAAAAGGGAGAAGCTCTCAGGGGGGAAAGGCCTTTGGCGGGAAAGGGTGGGAAGGATCTCAACAGGGAAAGGGGGGAAACAATCTTAGGAAGGAAAAGGGAAAAGATCTGGAAAGGCCTTAAAGGGAAGGGGGGAAAGGATCTCAACGGGGAAAGGAGGCAAAGGATCTTAAGGAGGAATAGGGAGAAGATCTCAGCGGGGGGAAAGGCCTTAGGAAGGAAAGGAGGGAAAGGATCTCAACAGGGAAAGGGGGGGAAAGATCTCAGTGAGGAAAGGGAGAAGATCCCAGGCAGGGAAAAGGCCTTAGGGGGGAAAGGGGGAAAGGATCTCAACAGGGAAAGGGGGCAAAGGATCTTCGGGAGGAAAAGGCAGAAGATCTGAAAAGGCCTTAGGGGGAAAAGGGGGAAAGGAGCTCAACAGGGAAAGGTGGGAGAGGATCCTAGGGAGGAAAAGGGAGAAGATCTTGGGGGGAAAGCGGGAAAGGATCTCAACCAAGGGAAAAGATCTTGGGGAGGACAAGGGAGAAGGTCCCAGGCAGGGAAAAGGCCTTAGGGGGGAAAGGGGGAAAGGATCTCAACAGGGAAAGGGGGCAAAGGATCTTAGGGAGGAAAAGGGAGAAGATCTGAAAAGGCCTTAGGGGGAAAAGGGGGAAAGGAGCTCAACAGGGAAAGGTGGGAGAAGATCCTAGGGAGGAAAAGGGAGAAGATCTCGGGGGGAAAGGGGGAAAGGATCTCAACCAAGGGAAAAGATCTTGGGGAGGACAAGGGAGAAGATCTCAGGGGGGGAAAGGCCTTAGGGGGGAAAGGGGGGAAAGGATCTCAACAGGGAAAGGGGGCAAAGGATCTTAGGGAGGAAAAGGGAGAAGATCTTGGGGGGGAAAACGCCTTAGGGGGGAAAGGGCGGGAAAGGATCTCAACAAGGAAAGGGGGGAAAAGATCTTAGGAAGGAAAAGGGGGAAGATCGCGGGGGGAAAAAAGGCCTTAGGGGGGAAAGGAGGGAAAGGATCTCAACAGGGAGAGGGGGGAAAACATCGTAGGGAGGAAAAGGGAAAAACTCAGAGGGAGAAAGGGCCTTAGGGGGGAAAGGGGGAATGGATCTCAACAGGGAAAGGTGGCAAAAGATCTTAGGGAGGAAAAGGGAGAAGATCTCAGGGGGGGAAAGGCCTTAGGGGGGAAAGGGTGGAAAGGATCTGAGCAGGGAAAGGGGGGGAAAGATCTTAGGGAGGAAAGGGAGAAGATCTGGGGGCAAAGGCCGTAGGGGGGAAAGGGGAGAAATGATCTCAACAGGGAAAGGGGTGGAAAAGATCTTAGGGAGGAAAGGGAGAAGATCTGCGGGAAAAAAGGCCAACAGGGAAAGGGGGGAAAGATCTAAGGAAGGAAAAGGGAGAAGCTCTCAACAGGGAGAGGGGGGAAAACATCTTAGGGAGGAAAAGGGAAAAAATCAGAGGGAGAAAAGGCCTTAGGGCGGAAAGGGGGAATGGATCTCAACAAAGAAAGGGGGGCAAAAATCTCAGAGGGGAAGGGGGCAAGGGGACAATTCCAAAGGGACGCAAATAAGAAAGCAGGCCTGTAATGTCGGCGGCCTGAGCCGGAGGCGTTAAAATATGCTACTGTGTCGTTGTTCTTGTTGTTGTCATGTCAACAAAAAGCCCTCGCAGAAGGCGTGATCGCTCCATGGAACATGTTGTGATGACTCCCCCAGTGCCTGCAGCATTGACGGCTACTCGCGGGAAATAGAGCCGCTGTAAGTGGCCCTCTGCCATCACGACCTGCGCGTCGGTCGTTCTGCGCAAAAACTCGGACGCGCAGGCATCGCCTTGCCTTCGGGTCACGGGCCTCAGCGACGAGCTGCCAGGGTGGGCCACCAAGGTGCAAGTTGTGCCCATAGTGCACCTGCGTGCTCCGCCACAACTGAGCGTATTTTGGCACATCAGGCACCAAAAAGAGAAGAAATCTTACCTGGCCAACATGGCCACGGTTTGCTTGCTGCATGACATTTCATGAGAGGAACAAATCCGCGATCTACTGTACGAAGTCCAGCCTGCGCGCTCTTGGGGTACAAAAGCAGCTCCACGTCGCCGGAGATGACATCGCCGGCCTGTCAAATCTCCATTGACCCTTTGGCAGAGTCGGGGCTTCAGTACGCAAAGGACATGATCCCCCTTCAATGCCTCTGTGTAAAGGTCTGTTCTTCCGTTTCTCAGAGATTCTCACATTGACAAACATCCACTGGTCATACGGAAGAGGTAGTCGTTCCAAGTGCATCCGGCCTGGAGCTGCATGTCAGCAAGGCCCAGCTCCAAACCCAAGGTCCGCTCGCCGTAGTTGTCTGCTCCCAGCAAGGAGAACACCGCTTCTGAAATTTGGTCACTGGACAAATTGCCGCTCCAGCCACCTGCAAAGTTTGAATGTTCTTCTCTCACTGAATCACCAAGAAGGCCGTTGCTGAGTGGATGTAACCAGTCGAAGTTATGAAATTCTAGGCCAAATATGACATGATGTTCTTAGCAAGCAGTCAGGCTCAGAGCATATCAGCGACAGCATCCCTTCTTCCTGTCTTTTGTCTCTGGTGCTTCCCTCCCGGATGCTTGACGCTTCCTTCATGTTTCTCAAGTTTGATGCTCTCACGCAGCTTGATCCCCTCATGCCTGGTTTGACCCGCACTTTCTGACCCATTCGAGAGCCTTTCCGAGAGCCTCACCTCCCTGACCCAAGCGACTGCCGGCCCGGAGTCCCGGAGTCCCATCCGCCTCCTTGCCGCGCCTCGAAACGCCGCAGCACCAGGCCGCGGTGCACGTGGCGTGCCTGAAACACAAGAGCTCTCTCTCTCTCTCTCTCTCTCTCTCTCTCTTCAAGGGTGAGGGAAACGGTATCTATATGTTGTGTAATTCTGTGTATAGAATATAACCAATCAAATGGAGAAGGCATGCGGGGAATTGAAGGAAATTTAGGGAAAACAATGAGAGTTGAAGGGAAGAGTCGGGTGCCCCCCATCCCGCATAGCTGAAATCGCTGGACATCCATCTAGACCAAGCCGATCAAACAACCAAGCACCATCAAGAAGCAAGGCAAGTGGACTTCAATCAGACACATTTGGCGACATGACTTTCAGAAACAACACAAAAACCGGCACGCGGGCTGGCTCCTGTTTCCGTTTGCCTTGGGATAGCCCCCTTGCCTGTGAAGGGTCGAGCAGTGCAAACCAGCAGGGCAGGTCCCCGCCTCAGTTTGGCGGGAGGTCCTGGGATCAAAGGCTGAAGCCTGAAATGAGTGGTTGTCCTGGTGGTGTCTCTTCAACACCAACCAAAAAGGGGCACCAACTCCACATGAGGACACACCCGCCTGTCGTCATCACCCAGTATCTGTCAAGAGGCATGGCACCTTCTGGTGGAGCTTGGAGTATTCAAAGCGCTCCAGCTGAGAGGAAAGGTTCCTAAGCGTTCTCGCTCTAGGCCCACTGGCTATCTGGACTGAGACATCGCTGTTGTTTTACAAATTCAACTGGACGTAGCCAAGCGCTGCAGAGTTTTGCTTGGTTCCCGAACGTTGACAAATTCCAACTGCTCCCTTCTCTCTTCTTTCCCCGTCGCATCCATGTCTTCACCGAGCGGCATGGCCGTGCCTTTCAGTCCGTGGGCATCACCGTGCGCAAAGCCGGGGTCCGCCACGAAGTTGTACCAGTCCGCACCCAGGACGTACAGGGCGAGCCGCGCGTAGCTCACATTCCTCTGGGTAAAAACGACGAGGGCGTATCGATGGAAACATGAACTTCCAAACTGGTCTCCAAGGAAACCAGCGAGAAGACCCTCCCCAACCACACAGCTCCAGCTCCTCAGCACTTGGTACGTAAAGCTGTGCAAGTGCCGCGCCAGGTCGTTGGTTGCCCAGGTGCTGACTGTTCGCTCCACGAGCACGGCGCCATCGGCTGTGACCCCAAGATAGCTTGCGTTGGTGAGGAGTGGGCCATTGGAGGTATGCCTCGCCGTGACGTTCGTAAGGTACTGGTAGGACCTCTGCCAGTCTGCACACTATTTTATGGCCGGCTTCTGTTGCTTGCGCGGAACTATGAAACCTCAACACCTGCTTTGTTTGACCACGCTGGTGCACAAATGAATGATACGGAGTCAAGTACATTGTTTGAGAAGCGCCTTTCGAATCTAGTTCTGCTGATCCAGCTGTGCTTCTCTCTCCCTGTCCACCGGCTAAGCATGATGCCCTTCCTCGTTGATCGCTACCAAGAAGTCCTTGGGTCTGAATCAAATCCATGGTGCCATGGATTGCACACCCAAGCCTTCCCAAGTGCAACCAGGCGTCAGAGCCACCAGAGTTCTCTGTCCACCCTGTCACGTTGACATCTCCTCGGCAGCCTTCGGCCTGGAACCAACTCGCGTCCAAAGCTAAGTACTGATCGCGCGGCCTGTGTCATCTGGCAGCGCATCTCTGCAAAGGCGCCGCTGGCATTCGTCTCCTACCATCAGCTGCGCAAACTTGCTGCAAAACTGCTGTGACGACTGGATTCTGGCTGGCTGCTTGAATCTCATAGTGGAAATTACGGACAGGCCAGTCAACATGTAGGCACGTCTTGCTGTTCAAAATTGGACAAACACTCATTTTGGGATGCCCTCATTTAGAGACAACATCATGTACCTTCCCGCGCCCCACTTGTGGTCTGCAAAAGGCTCGAGACTCCGACCTTGTGACATGCGCAGTCGGGAATGTCCATGGCACACACCAGAAAGGGTCGCGTGTCCAGGACCATGGCTCGCCTCTGCTGCCTGGGCTAGCAGGCTGACGAGCTGGCGAAGGCTTTTCCGCCACTTGGCCAGGTGGCAAGTTTGGCTCGTAAGTGATGGACTCGCCCTCTGCTCCCAGGCCCACCTCCTCCCACAAACCATTGGAGCCTGCCCAGCCTGCGCTCTGCCAGGAGTCAGGTGCAACGAGTCTATGCCGCTGCAAGTGCTTGGAACATGCCATGTCATGCAAGAGCATGGGCGCACAGGCAATGGCAGGAACGATACAATCAGAGGCAATGCTTGAGAAAACAGTGAAACAAAAGGTAGCTCGGTAGAACAAGCTTGTTGACCTGGTGTGTCCTGTTGACTTGTGAACTGATTCAGGATAACGTCCTTGCTTGTATTTGTATGTCCGCTTTCTCGCGGAACGATTCTCAAGGGTATGCTGCCCGTACTTTCGCAGAGGATGGTTGGTTGAAGGTGAAGTACTTGTGAAGGATTCGTTTAGGGGACGAGATGGCTTTGATCTTGTTTAGGATGGAATCGGTTGGGTTGGCTTTGAGTCTAGAGCAAGCTTAGGGGTGGTTGAAGGTGGGCTTTGGGCGGGCTCAAAATGTATTAGGGTCGCTTCAGGGCAACTAATTGCACTCACTTGGGCCACATGGCGTTCTGCGCTTAAAACTACATGGGACCCGGAAACTAGGTGCAGGCCTGGGAGGAAGCAGTACATACGCGCGTTTACATGAGCCTCCAGCAGTCTTCTCTCTTTCGGAAAACGAACAGATAAGTAAGTAAGTAATACATAGATAGATAGATAGATAGATAGATAGATAGATAGATAGATAGATAGATAGATAGATAAATGAATAAACAAACCAAAGAGCGAAATACGTGAAATACATATAAAACAAAATAATAAAGACAGAATAACAATAATACGTTATAAGTTAGTTATAATAGTAGATAATGACAATAGTGCATATATGCCATATAATATATGTAGATATGTTGATTCTGGTGCGCGTGTTTGGTTGTGCATCTGCTGCATTGCAATGCAGGCAGCAGAGCCACGTGATCTTAGCGGTCGCTGCAGTGTGCATTTGTGGCAGTATCTGCAAGCAAATGGCGCTTCAGGAGAGCGTCGTATTGTGTCACACTGGTTGGCCACGGCATCTCACCAAAAGGATTCTGCACCTATCTTCGAAACATGCGCTCCCACTGCAGGTCATGACACCAGAAAAAAGCTAGAGCATGTCGCATGCCATGATTAGCAACGGAAGTATGCTACATGTGCGGCTGGCAACAAGGCGGCGTGCACGCGAGCGCATGCTGTGAGCAATACTGCCTATCAGCGAGAGTTGCGCATGGGAGACGGTGTGGAGCTCTCCGAAGAACTGGTACGCAACCTTTGCGGAGGCAAAAGCCAAGGCATGAGAGCCCTTCAGTGCAAGCTGCCAAACCTTGGTGATGTGCGCAAACAGCTGCTGAGTTTTATCTTTCGTCTCGACTTCCCAGCTTCAAGTTTTGGGTGAGGCCAGCACCACAAGCTCCGCCTGGATATGAGCGCCCGCCGGCAGTCGTAGCTCTGCCTGCACGAGCAATAGCGCTCAACAGAATAGCTTCGGCTGAAATGTAAGGAGCCGACTATTGCGGAGAACCACGTTCCATCGTAGCGGATTCGCCCCCAAAAGCAGTCGTTGGTGTGCCAGTTCTTGCCTGACCATGCAACAAGAGATATTGCCCTCACACCAGCCTGGATCAGGGAGCGATGTACTTACAAAGCCGACTGTTTTCTCGACCGATTATGCGGTCCATGTAGTGGTCCAGACCAACCAATTTGGCCAAAGAACTCAGCTGCAGGTGCTGGCCGGAAGGGCGCTGATTGAGGCGCAGCACGGCAGCCACGCCTGCAGCAATGCCAGATATTCCATTTGTGCCTGCCGATCCCAGGGCTCACTTGGGCCTGTAATCTTCTTTGGCGCCGCGTAGTGAAAAACGATTCTGTAGTCGACGGCTTCATCCAGGGGATTCTCCATGACAACCTGCATCCATTGTGACTGCAAGCGCATCACGTCGAAGCATCGAGTCGCCTCGAAGGCGTCATTCTGAAAGGCGTCCGTGCCGCTCTCGAGCAGCACACGCCAGGCATGGCCATCGCCCCACACAGGTCGAAGCCCTGGAGCTGGAACATCGGGGAAGGGCAAGGCAAGGCATCTCTTCCAACAGCCTGGTATATCTATGTTGCGCACAGCTGGCGGAGGCTGCATCTGCATTGTCCTTCAGCTTGTGTCAATGCAGGAGCAAGTCTTGTCAAATACAAGAACCATGGAAAAAAAGGCTCCCTCCATGTGCACATGTTTGCACAGAAGGTGCCATGCTTGCTCGCAGCACTCAGCCAAGCGTCAGGTTCAGCGGCGCCGAGCACACTGCGGACGGGCCCCAGCCACATTGAGACTCGCCAAGCCTTGCAGCAGTGGCCCCAGGATCATGCTGACATTCCCAGAAACTCCAGCCAGGCAGCGGACAGCAGTCTGACGGGATGGACAACTTCGCGAAATGACACCTCCAATGCGCAGTTCTGCGCTCAACGCGTCCTCCAAAGGGTGTCTCTGCCACATGCCTGGACCCGGAGCAGCAGAAGCTGAGCCCTGCATAGCCAGCAGAGGGCTGCGTGGTGCGGCCCCAACTGTCCTGAACGGCAGCCAACCAGCGCAGTACCAGGGAGGACCCCTGCCTCCAGAAAGGTCGCCCAAAAGCCGGGCTCGTCCCCGATGCTGTGCACTTCCACGCAGCGCGGCCAGACCCGCAGCTCGATGGAAGCTGTCTTAGTGCCGCCTCCGCAAAACAACAACACAAGAGCAAAACCGCAAAAGTGAATTGAACAAAGCAGAAAATGCGCATCCTATCTCAACAAGTGAGGCTGAGGAGCAGGTGGCATTTACGATCAGCCAGTGGTGCAAGTATCGCCCTTGCTGAACCAGACGAACCGGATAGCCTCCGAGTGCAGCATCGTGATTCAACGCCTTCCACACATTTCACTGCGAAGTGCCTCCCAGGAACTCGGAGTCATGCACGTCTTCCGGTCCGGCACATCCAAGGCCCAGCCAGGCCGGGCGGAAGACCAGGACCTCGGCCGCGCTGGAGAGCCGGAAGGAGAGTGTCTGAATGTCCAGTGTCAAGTTGAAGAATCCTGCGACGCGTGACGTCCAAGTCAACCCGAATTCCTCGAGCCGAGCCTGTAAAGAATCCGAGGACTCGATGAAGATTGTTGTTGGGCGCCGCACCGCAGGGGTCGTAGATCTGGCGACCCTGGAAACGGTGCGAGGCTGGACCGGGCCTGCCTCGTGTTTCAAAGCTGCTCCGGCCTTGCGGGTCCTCGGAAATCTGCACCGAGTTCCGTTGACCTCGGCGCATCGATTGGGGTCTTGCCGTCCAAATCCTCAGTGTCGGCCTGGTCCAGCTTCCAGGCGTGAGGATGCCACTCCTGAGCAGGCCGTCAACCCATGGCAGGGCTTGGGCTTCTGTGCTTCTGGGCCACGCCCCTGGGAGCGCCGTGCAGCCAGGAGCCCAGCACGCCCGCCATCTGAGTCACACCCGAATCTCAAAACACACAGCAGGCGAACGCAGGGCCTGGTTCGCAACGGGCCATGGCGCGAGGCCGAGGCTTTTTTAGTTTCCTGAAGGCCTGAACAACATACCGCGAAGTGATTCCTCCAGTGAAACATGTACGGTGCACTGAACACGGCCGTAAGTTGTGCACACAAATGAAAGGGAAAGATGTAATACGAGTAGGCATTCAAACATGTGTTGCATGTTCTTTTTTGTTCGAGACTCTCATGTTTCAAATCTGAAAGGAAAGAGCTCCGGGATGAAGCTGCAAAGCTGAATGCGCAACATTGCCCAGGTCGCCCACGGCTTCTTCTGAAAATAGAATGAATGGGTCGAAAACCAGCGCTTCTGACACTATGTGCTTTGATGCGGGAAGAACAAGCCTGCAAATGTTCAACTCATGTCGAACTAGCGTTGCCATCCTATGCCAGACTCAGAAAGAGGTCGGTAAGCCTTGATGTCATTTGCTCTACTGTGTTATCAATTCTTCGTGCTGCAGTTGCCTGCAGCCCTGCGCTTTTCCCTGAATCAATGTCGACACGCAAAGGGAAGATCCTTCTGCACAAGCCAAAGCAGATATGCGGGCTCACGACCAACACTTACTGGCACTCCTGAAGAAACAACGAGGGCAAAAAAGAACCGTATACTGCTGTATGGCCGTGTGGACATTGTCTTGCTGACTTGGCACTATTGCACTGGACCAAGGGCGGTGCAAAGCACAGCCGCATTGCCAGTGACAGAGCTATGTACTAAGAGCGTGGCAAGCATTCAATCCGCGTGTTGCAGGCTTGACTACCAAAAATAGCCAGTTGTCCACTTCCTGCAAACTTAACTGTACTTGATTAAAGTTCAGCAGCGATGAGTCTTGCCACACATGCACTCTCGTGTGTGCGCCTGTTTCACTGATCATCCGGGAAGTTCAGAGGAAAAGTCCATCCCTGGCACAGGGATCATGGAGCCATTCCTCAGATGATTGAACAGGATTCCTTTGCACTTCCGAAGATTAGGGGCAAGCTGTCGTGGCATATTAAGCAGCCCCCCTATCGAGGACCAAGCTGACCCGCCAGTTCCTTGACCTGACATTCCCTTCCCAGACCCTACTGGTTGCATGTTTGTCATTGCAACCCACTAAATATGTAAGCTCGTGGGGTACGCAAGAACTTCCGACACGTTCCCAAATGCATTCAAGTGAATCAGACTTTCTAGTTGTTTGCCGAGCGGCTCAATCGCCCTCATGGCGTCCACCATATCTGCCATGTCAGAGCGAAAGCAAGTAATAGGCGCCTCGCCGCACTTGAGGCACCAAATGGCCTTATTAGCCTTAGTTCACCTTGAACGTGTTGGGACTTCAAACTTGGGGTTCCGTGGTCTCCGTTCTGATCTGCTTTAAAGTACCCATCAAATGAGCCACCATCAAAATCATAAGGTCTCTTTGGCATTCCACACATCCAAAGTTGTGCCGTGGGCAAGCTCCTTTTCGGAGCTGATCTTGGGTTCCCTCGTTGGCAAACCTTGTAGTCGTGTTCGGCCCTGTCAAACCCAAGTGTTCTGAAGGTGGCTATGGGAAGCTGATCAGCAAGGCTTGGCGGAAGTGCCTTCTGAACCCAGGCAAGTTCTGGCTGCATCAGCTGCGCCTGGCCTTAGCCGATATAGATTTCAGTTTAATGTTGGGGGTTTCCAGTTAGAGGCCTGTGCGGCTGTTTCAATCCTCAAGTGCACACCCTAAACCCTAAGCCCCACGACAAGAGGTGGTGAAGTCAACAATCACGAGGCTTCCCTCTCCCTGCCGTGGGCTCTGGGGCATCAGACGCAGGTCAGGCCGGTTGCAGATCACGCACTCCAAGGCATACTCCCAATGCCGCATACCTCCACAGCCTGCGCATTGCTTGAAACGTCTGACGAGCAGCATACAATACAACTCCGAGTGCCCCTTCAGGTGTGGCCAATACTGTGCGAAGTGCCAACCTTCATGGCGCCAAGCTAGCTCAGCCCCCAAGCACTGCCCGAGGCCTCGGATATCCGTCAAGCTCTTGCACCTCTTTCCCTTCACCAGCTGACCGCCGCATCGATGTTCTCGCACAGCTTGGCCTCAGGATTTGCGAGATGGCAATTACTCTTAGCGAATCTGACCTCGCCCCTTCTCCAAACTCCAACACTGGGGTAAGTCCAACGGAATGCCAGGGCACGTGGGCCCACCTTTTGGTAGCGCTCAAGATCAATCAAGCTCCTCAATGCACAGCATGAAGGGCTTGAGGGAAGAACAAAAAAGATAGGTTGCTCGAACCTCCTGGTGTGGGTGATGCTAGCTGTGTGCATCTGCACGCAGGCTGGAAGGGGCTTTGCTTGCAGTGTGTGCATTTTTTAAGTTCGGGATTCTTGTGGGCTGGGGCTGTTGCATGCAGGGTTTGCACCCGACCAAAAATCAAAACAAGGATACTCTGCTGGTGATGCTTGTAATGGTGGTGATGCAGATTAGTGGCGCTGTTGATGCGAGTGATGTTAATGATGCTGGTCATGTTGGTGATGGGTGATGCAGGTGACACTAATAATGCGGTTGATGCGGATGGTGCTGGTGGTGCTGGTGGTGCTGGTGGCTGGTGGTGCTGGTGATGCCAGCATTACTGCGCCACCAACAGAATGACTGAAGTGGAGTTGAAGAGAGCAATCAAGGGGAAACACACAGCAAGCATGAAAGGCCGCAACGATTCTCTATCTTCCCTGCTGTTTTCTCCACACCAGGGCACCAAATCAACATTGTAGCAGTACACGACAAACAAACATCGGCAACAGCAACGCATGTCATGGATTCAGGACGAGCTTCACCCAACCTGCCAAACTGACCGGGTGCTGGCATGTGGTATCTTGCGCCTGTCGTTAGCAGCTGAGTGCTTGCACTCACCATTCCACGTGCGCAAGTCACTCGCAAATCTCACAAATCGATTCACTCTTCGGCCTTTACACCATCCGTCTCAAGCGCCGTGTAAGCCTTGCTGATGACCTTCGTTCGGGGGCGAGGTCCTTGGCCGCACCCAAAACAAGGGTGTTGCGGAAAATCCCACAACCGGATTTGTGTCAAAGCCTGCATCCTTGAAAAAAAACAGCCAGTCAGGAAGTGCGGCGACATTGCAGCACGAACCATTGTGCTCCATGTAGAAGCACCACAAGCAGCGCCCTAATGAATTCAGGGCATTGTGATGATTTGATGATACAACGGCCACGAACCACAACGTGCTACACGTAAGCAGAAACGCGTCCTAATAAGTTCAATAGCATCAGATTGACAGCGTCATGATGATTCGATAGCACTGCGAAGCGCTACGCATAAGCACAGGCAGCGTCCTACAGCACGTTTGACCAGGATCGCCAAGCAAGAACCGCCAGAAGCCACCCTGAGAATACCAAACCGCACCCTGAAGCACTTTGACCAGCGCGCCATGAGAGCGCACCAAACTAAACCCTTACCAGCACTCACCACCTTGCATCGCAAATCTAGCACTGCCAGCCACAGGACTTGAAGCACACAACACCAGCACTCTGACCACCGTGACTCCCAAAGTGACCAGCGCACAGACCAGCACAACAGGCAGCTAGGACCCACCCAGCCCACGCCGTCACCAAACAGCAACGGCGCAATCACAGCACCCGAGCAGCACGGTTGATGTGAAACTGTGAAATTCCGCCAACGAGAATGCGCACTTGGCCGGCTTTGTGAAATTCGGCGGGAAACAAATGCGAAATTGGGCCAACGTTCAGGCCCGCATTGCTGCATCCAGCACTCCAACCATATCGACCGTCCCAGCCATCCCAACCATAACCACCCCGACCCTCCCAACCATCTCGACCCTCCCCAACCATCCCAATCCCCACTATCCAACCGCACCTCGCCAGCGCCAGCCGTCCTGACCTAAAACCAGTCCGAAACCACCCTAACCAACCCGTAACTCACCACCGGAATTCCTAGAAAAACTCTAAAAGGACTAAACCAACCGAACACCAAGCCTAAAATGGATAAACCCGCGCAACAACTTCTGATTTCTGACTTTCACGCATCTGTTTCTGAATCTTGTTTGTCTGAATTTCGAGTTTGTTTTCTGAAAGTCACTTCGCCCCCTGCGAGCACCCAGCCGTCAATCGCGCAACCCGAACAGCACCCCAAAACAGCACCTGCATCAGCACCCCAAACCGCCGTCAAACTTGAAAAAATGCGCCCGCACCCTCACCAGCACCGCCAACAGCACCCCCAAACAGCCCCCCCAAACAGCACCCACCCTGAAGTAGCACCTTGCCGTCAATCCCTGCCGCACCATCACCCCGCACCTCCAACAGCACCCCGAACAGCACTCCCAAAAAGGCACCTGGAGCAGCACCCCAAACTGATGCCCCCTGGCACCCGGCCGTCAATCTCGCCAAAACTCCCTCGCAGCATGCCGTCAATCTCGCACATTTTGCGCCGCACCATAAAGCAGCATGCCCGCGTCGTCACCCAAACCAGCATGCACCAGCACCCTTCCGTCAATCTCACTTTCCCCGCGTTCATGCTATCTGAGGAAGAAAAAAACCGCACCCCAAAGCTTGACACGTTCCCAATCTAACATTCGCAGTTGGATTCAGCACCGCCCCCCAAAACCCGCACACCGGTCGAGCCGCGGATGTTCCGCCTCTGGACCCCAGGGAAGGCAGGCATGACCAGCACCAGCCCGGGATTGCGCCGCAGCAGCTGAAGGCCTCGCGTGCAAAGCATTTTTTTGAGGGACTCATCTGAACACCCAGATAGGGTTAAGAATCTTAAGAAGGGAACTCACATGATGTTTAGACGTGTCATGTTGCCAAATGACCACGAGTGAAGCTTGCGCTTGCTGCGGAAACAGCACTTTGAAAAGGCGCTGTGCTGCAAACGCGACCAAACGTTACATTTGGTTGGAGCACTCAGGCAAAACAGAAAACGCAATTGCTCGACAAGAAAGGCGTTGGAATGAACGTGCCTGCGCTTACCCAGGAGAACTTTGGCTGGCTCATCCATAAAACCTCGACATCCATCATGACCAGGTATCCTGAGAAACACGCAGATCAGGTACCAAAGAGTATGAACATGCTTGGCTCAGTTCAGTTTTTGTCGGTGCGCGCACGTTCGAAGAGCTGTGCCGGTCGCCATGATGACTCGCAAGCAGAGAAGCTGATCACAAGACCAAGCGGCTTTCCTGGCACTGGTCAATGGCAAAATAGTGTGCCAACTGCACCTACGTACAAATGCAGTCAGTCATGCATGATCTGTGGCAAACGCTTCATGTTGCAGTTGATCAACACTGCACCCACGTCATTGCATCGATATGGCACCTCCTCTTCGTAGTCCTCGTTAAACTCTCTGTATGCCACAGACGACCGGCGCTCCTCACTTCAGTAACAAGGCGCAGCACATGCAAGGCACAAGACCAGTATCTGGATCACTCCTTCCATCCTTCCATTGGCGGATGCTCTTCCGGATCAAAGTTGGCGGTTCGGTTCACCTCCTGCACATACCTTGGGCACGCGGGACAATGTCATTGCAAGAGGTTGCCACCTTCTGAAATCTTGGCGTTATCTCCAAACATCTGGGTGAGCGGGCCCCACAAGTCCCATGAGTTTGTTTGAAGCACGTCTAGGAGCAAAATCCCAGTACCCACTCTGCACACCCTGAGTACATGGATTTGCCACCAGCAAACTCCTGGCTGTAGTTCACCTGCAGCCAATCGTCCACAAAGCCCTTAGAGACCAGCTTCTGCACGCGAGCCTAGAATGAAGCCCAAGAGCAAAAACATACAACGTACGCGTGCCGTGTTTACAGCTTGCATTCAAATCTAGCTGTTGCATTCAACTCCAAGCCACTACAAAGGTTGGAGGCAGTTCATCGCCAGAGTCTATGACAAGCAAAGTACGCACAAAGTTGAAGTGCTGGTGCTTCAGAATGTGCTTGACCTGAGCCGCCATCTCTTCTGCGCTTGAATTGCCGACTTGCATTTGTTTCCAGATTGCAAGGCGGCAGTGCACAAAGACAAGTTGCAAGCCGCTAGCATCTTTGATGCCAGAGAGCTAGCAAGGGCAATCTGCCACGAACGTGTTGTGTCGCAGCGTAGCTCTGGCAAGTGAGTTTTTGGGACAACGCCCACCATTTAGGATCATCGTCCAGGGGGAAATCGTGCTCTACCCGTGGCACTTGTGCAGCTTGATTCACCTTTGAAGCCTTGGGCATTTGTACCAAGTCACCAATATGAGTGTTTGGTTGCAAGTTTGCAATAGTCATGTCTCTTAATCTCTTCTTTTTGTGTGTGTGTGTGTGTGACGAAGAATGAATGACAACACGTGACAATGAAGCCAACGCACCATGGCACCATTGCCACAGGTCTCCGTCCGATGCCAAAGCTGCAGGCAAGCCACCCGTGACGAAATCTCCCGGCTGTGCTCGTGCCTGGCAATCACGGCCAGGCAAACGGCCTCGGCCTCGGTCTCCTCTTTGCAGACCTAGCCGTATTTCGGGGTTGGATTTTCTGCTCGGGAGGTGCTCTGCTAGGGCATAAACAAACCCCAGCAAATGAGCCGCAACATCCTCCTCTTCCCAAACTTCCTGCCTCTTCCTGGCAGGTGTTGGCTGAGCCGGCGATCCTAACAGAATTGAAACTCCTACCACATGTGCAGTATTCTTGGCAGAATATGACAATATTATATGACCACATAAGACAGGGCAAGGTACAGAAAAGCCAGAGCTAACACGTTGCATCGGAGAAGAAGCACGATTCCATTGCCCATGTAAGTGAAACTTGAGCTGGACAGTCTCTCCGCCAATGCTGTTCACGGCTTGGCCTACGAGTGTGCATCCGCTTCCATGGTTTGAAGGACTGACTGAGTAGGGCCACGCGTGGCAAATTGGGCGCTACATTGCACGATTTGGTCAAACATCCCACCTCTCGCTTTCATCAAGCTTGACCCGCACGTTCGATGTCAGAACGGCTGCTCGCCATTGCGACTCCGTGTGCATTTCGGGGGCTTTGGAGGGGGCGCGCACCTGCACACCTCTCTTTTCAACTCTAAGTCACGATTCTCTCTAACTCTGCTAGCCCCTTGTACTCCGGGCCCATCACCGCGGGCGGCCTGCCCTGCTCAATGGCAGCTATCTTGGTACGGGCTCAAAACTGCTGAGGTCTGAGAAGCATGTCTTTAGATGATATCATCCGACTCACACATGTTCCGACAAAGCGGTTGAGGTCCAGACATCTGACTTCAATTTTGCCAGATCATGCCTGCAAAGTCAGAGATGCGAGTAATGGGTCGAACGCAGCCCTTAGCACAACACACTTTGTGATTGCAAGCCAGAAAATGATCACGGCATTCACAACAATAATGTGCGCCACCGAATGGCATATCCAGCATGGCTGCTCAAACATCTATGTGCATTCCATGTGTACGCCACTGACTGCCGGCATGCAGCATTCACTTGCTTGGACTTGTCCCCTGCTTTCTATTGGCATTTCAAATGCAACTGTGCAGGGAGTGAAAGAATTGGTGTGGAAGCAAAACGCTGTCAAACAGTTTGTTTCTGGTTGGTTCCCACAGCATCTCACACGCATCCGGCAACAGCACATTTAGAAAACCTCTCTTTTCCATCTCTCTCTCGGACTTCAAACCCAAAGCATTGGACTTGTTTCTCTCGGGCCAGAGGCCTGCCTCACGCTGGTGAGGGGGGCGTGCTGGGACCAGGCGCGCTGCCAGTCCCGCAGGTGGCCCTGGCGATGCATGGCTAATCTTCGTGAGCATAATTGGTATTTGGAGCATAGATGGCCTTGCGCAGATTTCGGAAAACGCGGTCGTCTATGTGTTGGGATTGCTCTTCGGCAAACGACGCTTGCAACATCTATGACTCTATGAGCCTCAACCTTGCCCGCGCCTGACGCCAGCCCTCACCATTGCAAATCACACCTCGGATCCAGGTCCAACTGAAGGACAAATGGCCACCGCTTGACCGGATCATCAGCGGCGGCCAAGTTTGCGTCAGTACCAGATCCCGTTCAACACTCTGCGCAGGGCACACTCCAGCGCTGCTTCCCAAGTCCTCATGCCACCACAGGATCTAACGAACCTCGGCCATGCTCACGCATTGACGTGTGACATTGACCAACTGGCCTTGAGTGTGCCTTTTAGTCAACAGTGCACGTGTGCACGTGCCAGGATCTTGGGTCTGACTGTGAATGCTTGGGAAATCAGATACACGGCACTGATCGTTCAGGCAGGTCGCGGCAGCGACTTGCATGGCTTGCCTGGGATTCTGACGCAACTGCCTTGAACGCCCCAGTACCGTCAGTCACCCAGCCTCGCACAAGTTGGCCGCCACAGCGGTGTTCCTTGACTTGGTTGCGGGAGGGCAATTGTTTGTAGCGCTGAATGTCCAGCAAGGCCGCCCGGCCTGAAAAGCGAGCAGGCTGAGCAAGCCTACGCCACACTGTGTCCCACAAAGGGAAGATTGTGGGAAATGAGGGCGTCAAACTTACCTTTTTCACACCCTGGCTTCAGCGTCCATTTGACAAACCCCCAGCCCCGAAAAAGATGCGAATTTCCTCAAAATGAGTCGACTTGCCAAGAGGAGCCTGGTAATGTGAAGGGGTGCTGGCAGGTCGTATCCTCCGTCGCTGGGCCATGCAGCCCATCCGAGTAGCTCTTTGGGATTGGCCTCGAGGCAGTCACAGCTTAACTGCGTGGGGGTCCGATTCAATCAAGGGGAAACCAACAGGAGGAGCCATCTTTCCTTTCTGGGTCTTGGGCACAAAATGCATATGCCGCCTGGCTTGCTTCACCCAACCCCCATGTATCCTTGCCTGGTAGTGGGCCGCTGCCGGATCTTCCGTGTTGAAACACCCGGAAAAGATGGACTCACCAGGATCAGGCCTTCATTCATGCGGAGGACTTGAATCGCATCCTCACGGATGTGCAACACCCGTCAGATGAATTTACTTCTTCTCCATTTGCATCCAGTCAATTGTGAAGCAAGAGTCCTCCACCCAAGAAACATCCTCGTCAGAATACAGAATCCTTGCACACGCACACCGACTCTGAAACCGACAACCCATAACCCCCCACAACCAGCATGTTTTGGTCCTCCATACAAGCCGAGGCTCTGATCTAACTCAAAGACTACAATGTAAGCAGCTTCACACTGATCCACTGCAAAATAGTACGCCAGCTGAAAATCGTCAGTTTGGGCATCGTCGAAAGATACACCATGGCCATGAAACTGGCGAGTGCCAATTCCCATATCCCAATCAGCAGTTTTGTTCACGCCTTAGTTCTGGGCGGACCATGAAAATCCCGACAAAATCCCGCCGGGCCGGCTCAAGCATACTGTCGGAGGTTCATGAGGGCCACAAAATCACGTCTGCAACTTGTCCAAGCCGCTAGCTTTGTAGGATTGAGAATAGTCCACAGTCCGCCATGCATCAATAACTTTTTCTTGGATCAGTGCATCAGCAGCTGATTGAGATGGAAGTGAAGCTGCGCGACCTGCAAGCACTGGGAAAAAAAACAGCCCGCCACCGCATCAAAGCGGTTCCCTGGAATCATTGTTCGCGCATTCTGTCAGAAAGCAAACCAGGCCTTTGGTATCCTCAGCTTGCAAAATTGTCGACTAGACATGGTGAAAGTGCAAAGAATGTGTTTATAACATTGCATTCAACAGGCAACGAACTGCTACGGTTGCTACAAAACCAACCAGTCATTGGTGAGTCTCAAAAATCAGATACCGGCGCTGGAATTCATAATGCTGCATTTTGCTCAGGTGCCGAGCCTCAAGGCGAGCAATTAGGTCCAACCATGTCCAACCGTAAATCTGTCAGATTGCACTGTGGGGTGTAAACACCAAACTTTGCGCAGCATTGCCAAGGACTGGGCCCGAATTAGAATTTCTTCGCTTGCGCCAACGTTGCAAATCAGCGCCAGGCACGCAAGGCGGGGCGCCTTAGTAGCGCATCACTCGATTGCAAGTCGCCCTGGAGAAGGCACGGGACAGTAGCGGAGTGTGCAGTTGAGGGCCTGGCAGGCTTGAGGTTGGCGGCGAAGTCTGCCTGTGCCCAGAACAGGCAACAGTCATGATGTTCAATCGTTAACATGGAGCCGTCCGTTGATCCAAAGCACACCTGCATAGCTGTCCCCGCGTCAGAGGTGCCTCAAACATCCGAACAGGAGATTTGCTTGGCCTGATGTGTTGACGCAGAAGAAGAACTTCCACACGCTGAAACTTCATGTGACGCTGTAAATGCAGCCACGCATACCATCTCGTTGCACTTTCACCTTGGACGTCTGTGGCAAAGAAACAAACGCACACAGACCTGAACTGAGGCACCACACATGTATGAGTCTCCTATGGAAAACAAACCCAAATCCTAAGAGCCATACATTTGTTAAGAGTTTATTGTTATCGTCATTGGTTTTCCATGTTTGTCATCATCGTTATTGTCGTTGTTGTTGCGGTGGTTGTCGTTGCGCTCCTTTTTTCTTGTTATTATTACTGTTAGTGTTAGTGTTACTTGTATCGGTACCGGTATTGGTATTGATACTGGTACGGCTATTGCTATTACTATTGCTATTACTATTGCTGTTGCCATTGCTGTTGCTATTGCTGTTGTTGATATTATCGATATTGGCAGTCCTTTCCTGGATGTCAAAGTCTTTACATCTTCTACGAATATGTGTTTACAATATCTATGCTTTGGTGTTGCTGTTGAAACATCTATTTTACTTTCTTTGCTGTGCCGGCCTGCATTCAGTAATCTGAAAGAACGCAAAAGCCAGGAGCTCAGAACGGGCTTCCTCCGGATTTGTTATGAAAACCAAAAGGTGTTCGGTCTGCAACCTGCATTTTGTGCGGGTGTTTTGCCGGCGTTTGACCGAGGTCCCCCCACTGGATTTTGCAGTCCACCATTTAAATCAGTCCTGGCTCAGCTTGTGCTCATTCAGCTGAGCGGTTTTGGTTCATTTTTGCTTTGGGCTACGTGGTGTTTTGGGTCATTTGGACGCCTGTCTGATTCCCATAATAGCATCGTCGCATGAACTCATTTTGATGAGCGCAACCCGACTTGAATGCAATACTATGCCTGGGTCTTCGAATCAGGAACCTCTGCGTGCCCACCATGCCTGGTATCCCCTGCATCGCTTCAAATAGGAAGCGTCGCTCCAGCTGTTTGTTTCTCATTTGCGTGTTGTTTGTGGCCTTCCTTTGCAAAGAATGTGAGCGGCTTGTGCATGGCGGAGCGAGCTCAACCAACAAATGATCCCCAAGGAACAACATGCATGATGAGTGATGTGGTTTCATTGCTAGTCACGCTTCACACAAAGACCATGGCTGAGCATCTCACATTGACGACAAAGAATACTATGGCAGCGCCCACAAACAGACCGATCAGGCCGCGCCAGCCGCAAAGGCATGGCCGCGCTGGCATCTGGATCCGGCATCACAAGCAATCAATGCCCTGTCTCACACTCAGTGAAACTCGGTGCATGGCTACCCTTGCACATTTGAACATCCCACTGCGTTTCTTGGCTCTACCATGCAACACATGTTTAGTAGCCTGGCCTTCATGCTGCATGCATTCATTTGTAAATCAATGCTTGACAAAGCTGCGATAGCAAGTGATCATTGTCCCCGAAGCATTCGAATGAGTCCCCCCATACCGAGAACTTGCACTCGCATGTGAACAATCTGATTGCAAAACGTTGCTCTCTTTGACACTGCTGTCGGAGGCAGCCAATATACAGTAATAAGTTTTGTTCTTTTTTGGAAACCAGCCAACAAAAGTGGCGAGGGGTTTCTTCGGTACCCCGGCAACAGTGGTTATGTTGCCCCTGGGAAAGGTCACGGTACCCCGATTATCCTCGAAACAGTACCCTCTCCGTAGGTCGATCTTTCGTGTCTATGCCGCCACCAATCACGATACTGTTGTGAAATGATATAGGCATTGCTTGAGCCAAATGGCGACATGTGTGTGAATGAGCGAGTGTGAGTGAATGTGACTGAATCTGGGCCAATGTTTGTGAATGTGAGCGAGTGAGTGAGTGTGACTGCATCTGAGCGAATGTGAGAGAGTGACTGTGAGGGAATGTAAACGACTGTGAGTGAATGTGACTGAATGTGAGCGACTGTGAGTGAATATGACTGAGTCTGGGCCAATGGTTGGTGAATCTGAGCGACTGTGAGTGAATGTGACAAAATCTGAGTGAATGCGAGCGAGTGTGACTGAATCTGGGTGAATGTGAGTGAATGTGAGTGAATGTGAGAGTGTGAGTGAATGTGGGCGACTGTGAGTGAATGTGACAGAGTTGAATGTGAGTGAATGTGACAGAGTTGAATGTGAATGACTGAGAGCGAATGTGACTGAATCTGGGTGAATGTGTGAGCGAGGGCTGTGAGTGAATGTGCCTGAATCTGGGTGAATGTGAGTGAATGTGAGCGAGGGCTGTGAGTGAATGTGCCTGAATCTGGGTGAATGTGAGTGAATGTGAGCGACTGAGTGAATGTGATTAAATCTGGGTGAATGTGAGTGAGTGTGAGATGTGAACAACTGTGAGTGAATGTGAGTGAGTGAATGTGAGCGACTGTGAGCGAATGCGACTGAATCTGAGTGAATGTGAATATGAGCGACTGTGAACGTGAGCCACTGTGTGACTGAATGTGAGCGACTGTCAGTGAATATGACTGGGTCTGTGAGTGAATATGATTCAATCTGAGTGAATGTGGTTCAATTTGATGAATGTGAGTGAATGTGAGCGACTGTGAGTGAGTGTCACCAGTGCTTCAGTGACCCGTGACCTATTCACACCCCCAACGCAGTATGCCTCATTCTGAGGCATCTGCGCAGAGGCGTTGAAACTGCGGCTTCAAAATTACACACTGGGTCCACCATTATGCATCCACATACACACCGTGCCAGCTCGAATTTGTTCTATCTTGCGAAATCTCGAGTCGTGAGACGTCGTGAGACGCTCAAAATTACTGCAATTCTGCAGCGCAGTAGATTGAAATCACCCTCATTGGAAAATGTAATACCATCGGTGGCCCCCGTATCTCAGAGCGAACACATCGGCACTGCCTATGTGGGGCAGTACATCTGTCCTCAACGCATAGCAAAGGAAGAGGAAAGCGTATCAAGTTGTGCTCTGAGCAGGGGGTCGACGGAACACCCGTCCGTTTTCTTGCTAGAGGCAATGTCCGCCCACGCGGGCAGCAGCTTGCGGCTGCTGCGCCGGGCGGAGGCTCCACGGCTTCTGCGCCTAGGGCGGTTTCGTGCCTGCTGCGCCTGGCGGAGGCTCCACGAGCGCGGCCTCCGGCGCCAGTCCCTCCGCGCCATCTTGGGCAGCCTCACTGTTGCAGCGGGGAGCCAAGCCTCGTGACTTGTTTGCACGCTCTGCTGGGTCAGGCAGAGCTGCGTCGCTATCTTACTTCTCACGGTTTGCGCGCCCCTTGTCAAACATCACTCGCGCGCCGCAGGAGCTCAACATCGTGTACGATGTCAAGGACCTTGACCGAGTGACGCGCTGAGACGACATTTTTTCCCACAGGACATGATGCGTCACACCTCTGTGCAAGTGACTGGCTGCGAGGACAACGGAAGGTCAACGAGCAGAGAAGCCGTGTAAAAATAAGTCGTGAGATGTTGAGTAAAGGGGTGTCCAGCAGCACGAACAACATTGCGACAAAGAGGCCCAAGGAAACCAAGTGTTCGGTTGAGCTTTCAGGGAGGCCTCTTGAATGAGTCGGCTGTTCCGGGCTCGACATGGATTCGAGCATCATCACACGCACATCAGCAACATCGCCAGCATCACCAGCATAAAACCTGCGCGCTGCAACCTGGAGCGCGCAAGTTTTCTCTTTGCCACCTTCTGGCTCCATTTCTAGGGGGATGATTCCGCGACGCGTCAGCAACATCGCCAGCAGCACCTGCGTCGCCAGCCTTCGGGAAAACCCGCGCGCGCCAGGCTGAGGCCCTGCCTGACTGGCTGCGCCCCAAGCTCTGCAGATGACTCGCGCTTCCGCAGCAGCGGCGACTGCGGGCAGCGCACTTTCGAAGCATCGACGGCTGCGCGGACCACGCTATGTGTAACTTCCTTTTGACTGTACTTCGTTTCGAGCTTTACTTTTATACTTTTACGGGTGTAAATACGTGGGGTCGTGAAAAACCACCCTGCGCCTGAGGCTTCCTTAAAAAGTGCCAAAAAACGCGTATCGCGAGAGGCTTCCTGAAAAAACATAGCGCGAACCTCCGCGCGGCACGTCCAAGAGCGCACGCACCAGCGCGAACCGCGCGAGACTGTTGCGTCGAAGATAACTTTTTAAGCACAGGACCAGCACTTTGAGCGCGAACCCCTCAATCTAACCCGGCCTGAACTCTTACCGTCTATTTGAGGAAATACCCCTCCTAAAACAAAAAACAAAAATCAAGGTGGTTTTTGACATTGGCTTCCCTTGAACAACCTAAAAATGGATGCCCTCAAGAAACACACACACACAAACAACACACACCCATGTGTGCGTTGCGTTTCGGCTTCATTGCGTGTCGGCCATGAACGTCTTGCTGTACCCTGATACCACGCTGGGCAACACTAGCACGCTCCTTTTGCCGGTTGCACGCTCAAAATACTAGGGTGCAATGTCCCGCCTGCCTTGAGAGACACGATTGGAAAGCCGGAAAGCTTTTCAAGGATTTCATCGTGTTGCTCTGGGCCTTTAGTCAGAATAGCGCGCATGCTGTGGCCCTGAGCATCAGGGCGGCGGTTTGGTGGCAGTTTCAAACATTACGACGCAGCGGGAACGCCAATCTCAGGCGCATCACTCGGCTCCCTACGCGCCCACTGGAAAGAGACTTGCATCAACTTGCGATAACATTGCGTCACTGCTTGCTACAGGTCACGCACCGGCACTGTGCCCTTTACGGATTGACTGGCAAGGCCGGAAAGGCACCAGTCGACTCTTCTAGCTTGTTTGTTCATGTGTCCACCTCTAGACATGTTTGCTTGAGCGGCAAACAAATAACACCACTCAAGCGTCACACCCGACAAGACCCAACACGAACACCCGTCGCAAACAGCTACCTGCAAGCCGCATTGAGGATATACCAGAGCTAAGCGCTCTGGCGCACGATTTTGCTGATATGCAGGCCGGATACCCGCTGATGCCCAGCATATTGTGCCAGTTAGCATTTCGTCACTGCTTGATACAGGTCACACACCCGCACTGCAATGCCGTGGTGAGCCACTGCAGCTCGAGCTGACGCCTCAAACAGCAGCGACTTGAGACTTGGGTGCTGCGGGCGCTCTGGACATTGGTCACGCACGACAAAGCCTAAGCACCTGCCCGCACAAAGTAGAGCAAACAAGTCTGCACGCGAGCAACCTTCAAACCGGGCGGGAGCGGGAGCCATACGTTGGAAGCAACAGGCATGGGACATTGAAAGCACATGAGGGTAAAAAGCTTGTGCAGATGATCCGGCATTGCCAGGGCAACAAAGCTGAAAACACAGCCTTCGGCTCCCGCGAGCCGCTCAGCTGCTCGGCCACGCCTTCCACGGCGCTTGCCTTCCGGCCGGGGCTGTCGGGATCGGACGTGTGACACAATGACCTGCCTTCCTTAAAGACCCGGCGGTCCCACGCTGTATGTATTTGGCTGTGTCGTGCTTCAGACGTGCCTGCAGTGGGTGCTTGCGAGCTTTGAGCCGCTGTTTCCGCGGTTCGGCCGCTTCTTGTTATCTCTGACCCTTGTATGCAACGAATCCTCTGCTATCTGACTGACAAGCAAGCAGGCTCATGTGTCGCGGCATTCTTGGTCGTACCTATGGTGACGTGCGCCCAAGCCACATGAAAGACATTCCAAGCAAAAGACATGGTCTAAATTGTGTGGTGCGGATGCACGCAAATGGCAAGGCCGGAAAAGCGGAGAGTGCAGCGAATGGGGTGATCTGGTTCGAGAACCAGTCGCTCAGGCACAGACAGCTGCTTGGGAAAGCTTCGGATCTAACATGGCAAGTCAGCTCACTTAACCAAGACGAAACAGAACTTTCGTGCTCGCGCCGAGAAAGGTGCCACTTGCACTTTCCACAGTTCAGGCACTGACAGCCACAACTTGAGACTCCAGTGCAGTGGTCTCCTGAGGATTTGCTGGTTCGAGCGACAAATCCAAAAAACAAAAAGCCTCTGCGCATCTCTGCGCCCGCAGAAGCTGAAGCTTGGCGGTCAGCAAGCGTGGCTTGCCCAAACCCAGCACCCAGCAACTCATATTGGATATTGCGAGGCGAAGAAAAACACGACGAGCCGGACTGCCAACCCTCTCCAGCAACAAGTTGAATGAGGCAGTCAAGCATGCTGGACACTCGCTGGGCACTTGTTGGGCAACGCGGTGACTACCTAGTAGCAAAAACTGGCTTGCTGTCTGCCCAAGAGCCAATCTACCGAACTTGACAACGCCAAAGCAGTCTTT